CACCTTTTGAACCTCTCTGAGCCCAAAATAATATTAGGCCTATTTGATACAAGACGTTTTGGCAGAAGTGGCCGTTGAGCAGCCGCAAAGTCAGAGATCTCAAACGTTGTAACACTAGAAGCTTAACGTGTTGAAGCAGTGAATTTCTTGCAATTTAGATTGTTTTGATTTCTCTTACATAAAAAGAAAATATTATATTTGCCATTACCTTCATCAGAAAAGAACACATTTTCAGGTTTTCAGTAGTTGTACTGGCTAGTAAAATGAATCTACTCAGTTGCACTTATTCTGTATGATGTCCTGGGTGTGTTTAGTTTTATATGGAAACCCTTTGATAGTTTGAGCTTTGTTTGAAGCGTTTACCAAGTTTGTGAAAAAAAAAGTCAGAATTAAAAAATTGGCTATCTTTTAATTCATGTATGACTTGAAATTGGCCACACTCTATAGAGTGGAATTGAAGAGACAGTAAAGGTCCTTGTACACTGAGTTTTTGCGTATTCGTCATCCTAAAAATTCATCACACACAGAAACCTTTCACACTGAATCCGATGCGTATAAATTAATCAATTTAGTCTTTAAGCATTGAGGATGATTTTGTTGTCCTCTCTTTTCTTAAAAAGAGAAAAAGAAAAGAAATACTGGGTCCATCCAATCCTGAGATAGCGTAGAGAGGAAGGAGAGTTCCTCCTCCTTATCAAGGAGCTGTGGGGATTATCCCAGACGATTCAGATTACTTCAGGATGTCAGTGGCTCAGTTTGATGCTTTGCTAGCGATACTGGAGCCAAATATATAAAATATGACCAATTTCCATGAACTCAGTGTGCTAGGACCTTTACAGTGCTTTGTGCTGCAAGACGAAGTGGATCAACTTGTCAGACGCCATTCTGGATTTTGGCGTTCTCTTGTACGGTGGATCTGAATTGTCAAAACAACTCTCAAAATGCTTGCTAAGAATGCGAAAATGTAGAAAATGACGGATGAAAGTTTCGGAGACCGTGTGGAAACGTGTTTGACACAACGTGAGGTCGTATTAAATTTTTTACATACGAAAATTTCGGACTCGGTGTACAAGGACCTTAAGAGGAATTTACTGAATTGCAGTTCAAAGAAATTGAGCAGAGCCATTGCATTTTGGGAAATGACAGATCTATCTACACTGTAAAAGCAATTTTTCAAAGTTATTAATAAAACAAAGATTATTGGAGTACCTTTTACAAGATGTTTTTCTACATCAAATTTAATGTATAATTTAATGTGTTGGTGTACTTGTTTTTGGTGAAATTTACTTGCAATTTCCGAGTGAAAATTGTTTCTACACCATTTTTTTTTCATTGTAATGTCTATATTTCTATCTATTCTATTTCTATTTCTATCTATATGTCGTTCTATCTTATTCTTCCTCAAATATTAAAGCCTACTGAAGGTGTTACCAAGCAAACATTCAAAGTTTTTCTGGTTAAAAATGACATTCTTCTTTTTAAAATGAGTTTTAACTCTACTTGTATCCAAATTTGACTTGCATCCTGTTATCTCAATGCAATTTTACAATGCATCCGAGCAGCCCTGATGTTCACTTTTCATTTACGTAAGGTAAACACTGACTAACTGACTAGTTTTCTGGGAGACTGCAGTCAACCAGGAAAACAGCGTAGCTTTGCAAGCCCTACAATAGAATCATTGCACTATTACTGTTTTCTTTCTCCATTCTCCAAGTTGCCACCTGGCACAGCTTTCCTCTTCCCTGAGGTATTTTGAAGTGCCTGCATATTGCGATCCATTCAGTAGTCTCCTCAATGACGTTGTATAGGCTTAACTATTGTTTCTTGGGGCTTTTCTTAGCTAGCAGCCCTATTTACCCACTGAGGGAGCTTCCGTTGTCTCGTAGGCAAGGGGAATAGTCAAGCTGTTACTGGCTGAGTAATGGACCACACATGATCGAAGCTCACACTGTTCCTCTATTGCCATGCCTTCAAGTGTGGACAGAGGAGCACCTCTCCTTCTCCGCCTCTCCCTCGTTCTCACTCTCCGCCGCCAGTTGAGAGGCTCAGTTGTTTCTTTGTGTCATCCATTCATAGGGTTGGTGTATTGGGCAGAGCTGAGGCTGGTTCTTTGTCCTTAGCGTTGAGATTACCTTCCCTCAACCCCCTCCCCTAATCTTTCTGCTCTCCATCTACAACCCAACAATAGAGCACTAGCAAGCATCTCAGACATGCCATGAATGTTAGTTCTCTTTTGTTGGTTTTCGTTTGCCCTGATAGAGCAGTGAAAGGAGGCATTTCAGTTTTAGACACCGACACTCAAGGTATTGTCTCGTATCCTGAAGATGTCTGCAGTCTGAAATGAGCGTTTTATCTTCGTTGTCCTTCTCCTTGTAAAGTCTAGCCATATAGGTGCTTCAAAACATTTTTGCTTCATGTGGTAAAATGTTTTTTATATAATGTGCAACCACATTTTGTAAGTTTGTAAGTAGATAGCTGAAATGCATACAGTAGTACTGGAGCTGTGTATTGATGCAGATTCCCTGATTCAAATAGATTTTGATTCACAAGGTTTCGATTTGATTCTAAAATAGTGAAATTATGTCAAAGTCGGACAATCATAAATAGTTACCTTAATACAAAGAAAATGTGTAATGGACATTTTCTGCAGATGCAAATGGGTAAATAATGTGTGTTGTGTGTGTTTTTCTTAAAACACAGTTAACTTTGGCTGTGTGTTGTACTTAATGAAGAAAACAAACCACAAGTGTAAAATGGACAACGTTCGTTATCATAAAGAACAACAAGAACTATTTAAATTAATAATTCACTTTTCAAAAATTATCCACCATACTGTGTTCTATTCATTTTCTTTGTGCAAACAGAGAGATGCATTGCTTTTGGCAATCATTTAAAATAGCTTAGTAGTCATTGAAAAACTGCTTAACGTTTAGTTGTTCATGTAATTTGCCGCAAAGTCTGATCCAACGCTTGCATTTTTCGAGATTACTGTCTCAAATCGAATTAAACGCCATTCACTATTCTCTTTAGATACTAAGTATCCAAATTAATGTATCATAACCACACATTTTTGCCATAATGTTGGGAATTTGCAAAGAAATTAGGTTTGTACTGAGACTGCTCAGTAAGTTTAATGGACAAAATGGCTAAAACAATTTTATTGGATATTTGGACTGTCATTCATTTATATGCATGTACTATTTGATTGTCAATTTGGGTTGTCAGTCATTTATATGTTGAAGTATCAATTCCAATTCATATGGGTTTATTTCCATTATGTCTATTTTTGACCCTGGAGCACAAAACCAGTCTTAAGTCGCTGGGGTATATTTGTAGCAATAGCCAAAAATACATTGTATGGGTCAAAATTATAGATTTTTCTTTTATGCCAAAAATCATTAGTATATTAAGTAAAGATCATGTTCCACGAAGATATTTTGTAAATTTCCTACTGTAAATGTATTAAAACTTAATTTTTGATTAGTAATATGCATTGCTAAGAACTTCATTTGGACAAATTTAAAGGTGATTTCCTCAATATTTAGATTTTTTTTTGCACCCTCCGATTCCTGATTTTCAAATAGTTAAATCTCGGCCAAATATTGTCATGTCCTAACAAACCATACATATATGAAAAGCTTATTTATTCAGCTTTCAGATGATGTATACATCTCAATTTCGAAAAATTGACCCTTATGACTGGTTTTGTGGTCCAGGGTCACATTTCTTTTTAGAAGAAAGAAATTCTCTAATTTGCTTATGCAGTTTGCTAAATTTAGTCATTTATTGAAACCAGTAGCTTGTATTTTTGAGCTATTCATTGAAAGAATCTTCTCATAAGATTTATTTTGTTCTGAAAATCAGGCTGCAACAGTCACGTTTTATGTTTTTGATTCACTAAAAAGAACCAACTCATTAGACTTATGTTCATGAATCTGACTATGCTGGTTGTGCTTTGTTTGTTTTTGCTTTATGATTGATAGCACAGCTCCATAGAAGGATGCTTCTTGGCATTTATTTTGCAGTCTTTTTCAGTAGACAGCAAACTCACATTCACAATTTGTGGCACTGAAGAGTCAGCAGTGTTGGCATTTATGGCACAGAGAGAACATTTTCCCAATTCTCAATGTCAATTGACTACATAAATCTAGTGTAGATCAGACCTGAAGCTATTTTTAAAGTGTTTTATGGAATGAAGGGAGCCAGACCTCCTTCAGATGTTGGTTGGCATAATCACATCTGCTGTTCTGCAACATAATATACACCACTTAGTTTCATGTTTTTCCATGGCTTGTGTTTCAATCATAAATTCTCATACATTTGAAAGTCCTCTTCTGGTTAAAACAAAGAACTGTTTGAAGTATCACCCACATGTTGGCAAATTCCGTCTCTCGTCTTGCGTCGTTGGGGTCTGTAGTAATGTCTAGTGATCCTAGGCACTTTTTCACCATCTGTAAAATTCACACAAGTTACGTTTTTATACATTTCATGCAAACTCAAAAACAATTGAACTGAATTAATGCATAGTCTAGTAAACATGCCGTTTTTATTAGTGCAAATGTTTTATTACTTGTTCGCTGGCCAGCATCGGCGGAAATATTAATGGATATATTGAAAGATTTCTGGAATTCTGAAAGTAATCCAATTGCAAGTTGATTTCCCTCAAAATTATAAACAGATGGTGGTGATTATTTGTTTGGTTGACTCATCCAGTGGCTTGAGTTTAAGGCGTGGCTTACTGTTCGAATGAAAAATGGTGAACAGGTGTATTTTAGTAGGATTAATTGCAACTTATTTCCTGTTGCGATTCCATTTGGTGCCGCTAGTGCACAGAATTACACACTGCCACTTTAATTTGGATTGACGAAAGTCTGTGTGTGTGTGTGTAAACAGTCACTGATTAGGATGTTTATGAAAGACCTCTTGCATGAACTTTATCAAAGAAAGCTCAGGCTTAAACAACACTGCAAACGTCATTTTCTCAGATGCAAGGCTGTTGCTAATCAGGAAATACATTTTGTTTGAAGAATTCAAAGATGCACACTTGACAATGGGAAATGGCCTCCTCCTGACAAATGTTTGTGCTGCTATCCAGAGGAAATGAAAACACCTCTGGAACGTGCTTTCGGCTTTAGGTTCATGTTCGTATATCCTGTCATCTGGAGGAATGTGGTAAGCGATTTGTCAAGAAGGCTTCATCTGAAGTGCTGACTTCCCTAATACCTCAGTTTTATTTCAAACAAATGGTTTCTGTCATCATAATTTTAGCAAAGTCAATCACGCACATTTTAGCCGTAACTGTGGCATGTTTTTAGCTCCTCGTGGGTCAGTAATGTATTGTGTATTAGGACTTTTTCCACATTAACGGCAGGAAAATGTGATTATAATGACAAGTGCGTGGTGTGCCACTGGCCTCGTTCAAGGTAAGGTTATTTGCTATGGCCTGACTGCTTGGGTTTGATTCCAGAAGACGGTGGAGATTTGGCGCAGTATGGTATTGATTGATGGATTGTGTGCAGAATATTCCTCTGTTTCTTCATCTCAGGCAGTGAGGAGGAGAAGAAGGGCTGGGTGTATGAAATTTTAGCTTTTTTTCTGACGGGTTTCTCCTCTGCGTGGTCAGCTGCAGTCGTGCACTGAAGATCTCTGGGGTTCTGATTCATTGAAACCATATGATGAACCAAATATTTTGAAAGGATCCCAAGCAGCGAAATCTGCTAGCTATTTTTTTAATGATTTAGAATTAATCAGTTTTGGGTGGTAATTGGTAACTCGAGCTTGAATGTTGAGCGATGCTCAGAGAACTGATGTCTTTCCTTTGTGGTCCCACAATGATTGAAAAGTCAATTGCGAAATCAAAAGGCTGTAAAAAAGGATTGCTTACCAGGATGGTGGTGTGGTTTCTGTGATTCTGTGACCATAAAGTCTAAAATGCGTAAATGAGCTCCTATACAAAAATGCAAATTGACACCATGTGGAAGACAAAGCATTTAAAAACAGTTAAGTGGCTGGTTGGGTTCCTTTTAAGAATGTTTATGGGATTACCAGGCGCTTTCGTCTCACGCAATAGCACCGCTAACTATATTTTGGTAACTTTCGAATTAATGTCACGCCTTTTGTTTTATTGCAAACCTTTTTCCCCTGTCATTTTCCTTCCAGCCACTAATTTAAGAAAATCCTTAGTTTGTTTAAAAAGTCAAAGGCCATTCCACACTGAATTAAGCGATTTGGATTGTTTTCCGGAAGCTTCATCAGGGCTTTTTGCTTTTCACTCTTGTGTGGAAATATAATTTAAAGTTGATATACTCGCACGCACACACACACACACACACACACACACACACACACACATATATATATGTATATATATTTGTGTGTTCATAAACTTTAAATTATATTTCCATTTTATATATATGTATGTGTGTGTGTGTGTGTGTGTGTGTGTGTGTGTGTGTGTGTGTATGTATATATATATGTATATGTGATCCTGGATCACAAAACCAGTCATAAGAGTCAACATGAAAGCTGAATAAATAAGCTTTCCATTGATGTATGTATTTTTTAGGATAGAATAATATTTGGCTGAGATGCAACTATTTGAAATCTTGAAATCTGGAATCTGAGGGTGCAAAAAATCTAAATAAGTCCTTAGCAGTGCATATTACTTATCAAAAATTAAGTTTTGATGTATTTACAGTATGAAATGTGCAAAATACCTTCATGGAACATGATCTTTACTTAATATCCTAATGATTTTTGGTGAACTTGGTCAATACTAATCTTATTAATAACTTACGTTTCTTCCCCACCGCAGAAACCACCACAGGTTCATCAATGCCATCAAAATTATTCAGTTTTTTAGGGCTGCACGATAAATCGCATGCGATTGTCATGCGCATCTTGTCAGTAAAGCCAGTTCTGTGATTAATAGTAAATCTTCATCACGTGCTTTCAGAGGGAGTGGCATTTAATACACAGAGCCGTAGATCACTGACAAGCTACGCAATATCGCGTTCATAATCGAAGGTGATTCATATGCGATATTGCATAGCTTGTCAGTTAGTGTTTACAATGCGTGGAATGGTGCGCTGTGATTGGTTGAGCGGATGTATCGCATTCTGCAGAGAAGGGAGACTGGCGTTTGTCAAGGTTTGGAAAGATAGGGAGAAGGCATGACAAAATAACACGACGGATATCGCATTTTGCTTAAATTAAAAATGGACTTTTCAACACCGACCAGATACAATACTGATTTTGGCGGGAACTAGGGGTGGGCGATATGAGCTAAAATTCATATCACGATATTTTACACTGTCCAGGCAATATCGATATTATATTGTGATATGAGAAAAAAAAATTACAGGAAAAATATTTTAACCTTGTATAACTAGAAAAAGTGACGGATTGGACATAGACCTGAAAAGTCTTTTATTGTGACATTGTTTTTCTCAAAAAGTGCAAATGTGCAACATGAGGTATAGGCCTGTATGAATTAAATTAAATTAAATATTGTGTGTTTGAGTTGGCCAGTGGTTCCCAAACTTTTTCTGCCAGGCCCACCTTTTGTAGAGAAAAATATTTTCAGAAATAAAATATATTTTGGATTTTGTTTTCCCTTAATAATAAAAACTTCATTTAAAAACTGCATGTTGTTCACTTGTGTTATCTTTTACTAATATTTAAATTTGTTTGATGATCTGAAACATTAAAGTGTGAGAAACATGCAAAAAAATAAATCAGGAAGGGGGCCAACACTTTTTCACACCACTGTATATTTATATCATCAGTCAGTGAAAGTCAGTGAAAATTGCAACTAAGGTGAGACAAATTTTGATTATAAATAATTATATCATTCTAAAATGAAAATATATTGGTAAAAATAGCTCAGTGTAGTTAAAAATAGAGAATATTACCGTATTGACCCGAATATAAGACGATGTTTTTTTCTTGGAAATACAGCTGAAAAAACGCGGTCGTCTTATATTCAGGGTCTAGACTTTGACATGTCAATAATACACCCACAACAATAGGTGGCGCCAAATATGCATAAAACGAGTGTGCCATGAAATACGTAATGTAATGCATGTTGTAAAGATCGGGAGTAAAGACAAAAGAAAACCTTACAGCTGCATGAGTCGTGACTGTCACGTTAGCCTGATGGGACCAAAACTCCCTTTGTAATTTTAAAACGTAAGACAGTACCCAGATTTGAAGTCTACAGTAAGATTTAACTTCTACTGTTAATAAGATTTTGGTAGGCTACTATTAGATGGATAGCCTAAATGTCCTAATTCAGATGGGCTTCCTGTTGTTTTATTTTTTTTTTTATGTGCTTGTTGGTATATTTTTCCAGTTTTTACCATACTTTGAAAACAAAAATTTAAATAGGAAAAATATGCAATATGAAAATAATTGAAGACAAAATTTGTTTTACTGAGAAAAAACAAGATTTGTTTTTCAAGATTTGAAAAAGCCTTTTTCCAAAAAGTACTTCTGGAAAAAGGGGGGTCGTCTTATAATCAGGGTCGTCTTATATTCGGGCCAATACGGTGCTTAATATTTCTGTGTACTGTTTTTATTCTTATTAAGTATTGCTTTTTTTTGCTGCAGCCTGTCAAGAGCATTTCAGATCCCTCACTTGTGTGGTTCCATGACCGTTAAGATGATGCCTATGTAGGCAGTGAGGCAGCTCACATAAGTTTTGGAATATGTGTTGTGTCTTATGTTTTGCACAGAATGCATCATTGGACATACTAAAAGGATGATGTGTTCCACAGCAGGAAGTGGGGCGGGGTCAAAGTCAAGGTCTCATCATTGAATGTGCTGTTGGGGGTCATCTGTAATTTCACTCACAGGACACAAACATGGGACAGTCAACATATGTACCTTTAATTATGAGCAAGCCCCCTAATGTGCAGCTAATAACGTATGCGCTTGATCGAGAGGCATCTGTGATAACAGTGTGATTGTGTCTAATGAGATCACACTGTGCACCACCATGAACCATCCTCTGTGATTGTCTATAATTAATGTGGAACATGTGGAATCACACATGGAAGTGTGCTTTGTGCTCCAGTGAGCTCATTAACAAAGGGGATTGTTGTGGAATAGAGAGAGTTTTGGGAGGATTTCGCATTGTATTTATTAAGATTATCCGTGACAAAATAATAGAAGTGGATGAAGGATTTTACCAAACAATGAAAAGAACAAAAAACTTTTCTCTTTTTAAACCACACTGAAATAAAATGTTGTAAGATTTACTTGGAAAGTCTTTTCACACAAATTGCTTGTACATTTCATAAATAATTACAGAGAAGCAAGACAAGTAACGTGTTGAATTAAACATGACATTTTGAAGTAGTAAAACACGAAAAAGCCTTTAACTTGGAAAACATACTCCATTAATCTTTGTTTTATTTACAACTTTTTATTGGCCCATTATTTTATTTTGCTCCTGGAAAATACAAACCTCACTGAGATTACAGTAATTCAGTTAAGGAAAACATTTAGCAATTATAAATCAAGCCTTCAACAAAAGATAATTAGTTTAAACTCATCTTTCCTACTTCTGTTTTATGAATGTTGCATATCATTTTGCGTACTAGACTTTTTACCATTGTATTTTTGACCCATTTTAGTCTTAGTTTAACATTGACTATGACACTATTTTCTGGCATATCGTTTAAAATTAATTCATTTTATTATTTTCTTTTTCCAATTTTAGCACAAATGGATTAGGTAAACTTAATTTTACAGTTTTAATTCGGTTGCATGCATTGAAATAAATTCAAAAACCTTATTGCACCAAACTGAACAATCAGTAAAAGCGTATTTTAAGTGTATTCAGTTATTCATTGGAACCTTTCTTTCATTCATGGACTACCAATTTTCCAAAAATGAGTAAAATACCATTCATTCTTGAGGGGGGAAAATTAAGTATAAATCATGCATGGCACAGATCAGCCTGGAGGTCTTTCAGCCTCCTCTTGATTGATTTGCTATCGTGGCCTCTAGTTGATAGATTACCTGGTGTCTTCTTAAAGGCCGAAGTAATCAGTATCCCTTCTCCAACACATCAGACTTCTGATGAACGAAGGTTTTTGGGGTCAAGTTAGTGGAGAAGACCTGGAATAGCCATATGCATCAGGAAAAAAACTTTATGATGGTCTGAA